GGGGGGGGGGGGCGGTTGGGCTAAAGCTGCCTAGAAAAAACAGTAAAATTAAGGCCTTCCTTAGGGACCTGGCTCACCTGGTCCTTTGCCACCTGGAGGTCAGGTCCTCATTTCTAAATGAAGCAGTTTGAGAGTTATATATCCTGCTCTCCTCAAAAATGTTTGGCCTATGGTGGAAGGACATTCTCCGTGGCCAAAATCCCTGTACTTGCTGAAAATCCAATCTTCATTCTCGTAACTATCCCCAGCTGACATTTAGAGGGAACAGAGTTTATGAGGGGCGTGTAATGCTGCTCTTATCCCTGGAGAAATTAGACTCCCAGTGCTACACTGCACACAGTGGTGAGATGTTAGCAAAGCTCATCCTGTTTGGCAAGTCAGTGTTCTCAGAGGAGCCCTGAGGGAAGTTGTCAGAGACTGAGCCTCTCAGAAAGTTGAAGCAGCCTATTTTCTGACACACAGTATAAATGATCTCAGTGAAAATGCCTCAGGCAGAAGGGACTGTTACCTTAATAACAGAGCTAAGTACCAAAGTCTATTGATCTTCCCTTTAGTCGGAACCACCGGGAGAGAGGTTGGAGGTCAGGAAGAGACCAGATGGATTAAAATGGTCAATATTTGAGTGAAACTGATCTGATTGATTGGATGTGGAGTGAGCAGATGAAGCTATTGGGTTGTCGGAAAAGTCATGACATATTTTTTCTATGTTTTTCGTTGGAAAAGTGCATCATGACTTTTCCGACAACCCAATAGAAGTCAAGGGGTAGAGCTTAGGGTAGCAGCAGAGGGTGAAAGGACAGAAATGTGAGAGTGAATCCTAGATAGGACACAGGACACCAGTGACACCTCATCTGAATGTGGACACCTGGTTTTCATTGCTGAGTCAGTGCACACCCAGCATGACACTCCCTCCTTGGTGCATTTCCAATAAACGAGGGGGGTGGGGGGGGATCAGGTTTCAGTCTAGTTCTTATCTTGGCCTTGCTGCATTTTATGTACCCATTTTCCCCTTTTTGTTTGTTTAGACCCTGGTTTGGGTAATATTGTAACAGTAATAGCTCAAGATTCACTGTATTTTTATTTGCTTTGCTCACTTGGTTACAGACCCAGAGCTAGTCCCTAGCAATGCTCTGAAAGTTGTTTTCCCTTGGGTCACCTTGGGAGGAACCCTAGGTGGGAAGGGGGCAGAGGGGAGAGTACAAGGAGCACAGGCTACTGATATCCTGGACTTCATCCTTGTTAAGTGCCTTTGTGCCACTGACGCCCTGCATAAAGAGGCAGAGGGGCAGCAAGCGCAGGTGCCAACTCGGTCATCGTTGAACGAGACGCCATCACGTTTTTCAGGAGTTTCTACCCCGCAGATCTAGAAGTTGTGATATGCTGTGGCCTTTATCCTTTATGGAGGAATGTGCCTCATCATCGGGGCTGACCTTGAACACTCTTGAGGGACCTTGACCCCTTTCGCTGGATTCTGTTTGGTGGTGTTTGGAGGCCAGCATCCATGGGCTCGTGCGATCCATAGTGGCTGAGCAGAAAAGGCTGGGCTCTGGCTGTGTGGGGGTGTGCATGTGGAGTGGGGCACAGGGCCTCATTCGTCACTTCCAGGAGTCTTCCTTCCCACCAACTATTTTGGGGGGACTGCAGGGACCACCCCTTCTGGATGCTGACAGTGAAGCCTAGTGTGGAACTCTCTGGTCACTTCAAAAACCTCAGTTACTGGGGAGGAGGTGGTATGTTGAGGCTGGAAAAGTGCGAAGTCTGGACCCAGAGAGACCTGAACTCTCGCCAGAGCTCTCTTATTTAGTGTGTGGGTTCCCTGGGCAACTTACCCGCCATCAGCTTCAGATTCCTTGTCTATAAAAGGGGGATAATAATACCTACATTTTGGCTTGTTAAAGGATTAAGTAAGAGATGTCCATACCACACTCAGCACAGTGCCTGGGACACAGTGAATGATTATTCAGTAAATGATAAATACAGGTACATGTCTAAACTCAACATCTCTGTTGCCATGTTCCTGCCTTCCTCAGACAGAGAGCTATGTGGTCTTAAACAGAATTGCCGTAATCAAGGGCCCAAAGGCCTTGTCTTCTAACCCCGTGATTCATTTACACTAACTCCTGTTTCCGCTCCTCTCTTATGGTCTCTTCCAGTTCTTTTTTATTCTAGATGTGCTTGTCTCCTATTTGTACTTTACCCTTCTTAAAATCTGGTGTCTGTTAAACTTCGTCAGCAGACCTCAAAGGTGAAAATCCTGTGCTTCCTTACATCTTCATAGAACGCATATGTCTCTGGGACTGACTGGACCAAACATGGACCACGAACTTTAGCCCCTGGGAGAAAGCTACACCTGTGTGCCCACTTGCTCAGACTGGAGAACCTCTGACTGACAGCTGTTCCCTAACTTCAGGCTATAGGTGTTTGCCAACACTTGTTGGCCTTTGAAAAGAACTGGTGCCACTTTGTCACATGTTTTTTGCCCCCACCTTCTCAGGGGCTTCCTGGATGCAGAGGAAGTGGACAGAGCAGTCAGAACAGACTGGACTGAAGTTGAGAAGTGATGTGGAAAAGGCTGGGACGGGTGCAGGGAGACAGCGATAACACTCAAGCAGGTGGACCCCCCTTTGGGGGCAGGGCTGTGTCCCTTTTTAGTCTCATTTAAATGGCTTTGTTTTTCCGTTTAGGAGGGGACAACAAAAATTGGAAGGATTGACTCAGACCAGGAACAGGATATTGGTAAGTGACAGAGCATGTGGTCTGACTCTTTGTGGCAGGTGCTCCTGCCTGACAGGTTTCTTCAGAGGAACCTGATGGTGCCCTGAGAGAAAAGGGTCCCTGAAGTCTTCAGGGGCTGCTCCTTTTGCTGCTAGGTTGGGGGACTGCAGCTGTGTGTCTGGGACATGATAGGAAGAGACCCATATGTGGGAGGATGTGGGCCGGGGTGCTTTCAGGTGGGGGCTCTCTTCCTCTTTTGTCATGATGTGAGATCTTCCAGATGTGGATTCTGATCTCATGGAAAGAATGGAGGAGGTGTTTCCTTGGGCCAGTCTCCACTCAGGTGACTCTCACCTCTTCTGTAGTCCTGCAGGGTCAGTGGATTGAGAGAGACCATTGCACTATCACCAGTGCCTGTGGGGTCGTCGTTCTGCGGCCTGCCCAGGGGGCCCGCTGCACAGTCAATGGCCGGGAGGTCACTGCCTCCTGCCGTCTGACCCAAGGTAGGACTGTTGACAGCCCTGTTTATGCCAGGATGAGTGATGGCCGAGCTCTGTTCTCGTGGGCCTGACCCCGAGAGCTCAGTGATGCAGCCTTTAATGATGGACCACCAGCCTCTGCACCCAGAGATCTGATTTCCTAATCTGATCTTCTTCCCATAAACGAAGAAGCCCCCATTCCTGGGCCCCAGAATGGAGAATAACTGAAATTTGTCCCTGTGTGTGTTAGCGCTATGTCCTTGGGAAAGTCTCTGGGCCTCAATTTCCTCATCTGTAAAATGGGGATAATACTAGGATTGTTGTGAGGATCGAATGAGCTAATCCATGTGATGTCCTTAACAGTGTGTTCTTGGCACTTAGTAAGCACTCATTGTCATTGTTGCTGTCACTATTATTCCTCTTATTAGTCTATTCAAATTCTGTCTGTGCTTCGAGGCTGAGCTTAGATGTCCCCTCTCCCACGAAGTGTTCCCTGACTACTCCACCTGGAATTCATCTTGCTTCCCCTTGGCGTAGCAGACGCCTCCTGTTCATGTCATTAATTCAATGCATATGCTGTGCAGCGTCCAATGAGTACCTATCTAACTGATGCAGCTAAATCCTCCCCCTGTTGAGGGCAGGACTTTGTCTCTCAGAACGCCGCCCTGCATGCAGTGTGTACTCTACTGTTGATTGAACTCCCCTCTGTGTCTGGGCCACAGGAGCAGTCATAACCCTGGGGAAAGCTCAGAAGTTCCGATTCAACCACCCGGCAGAGGCCGCTGTCCTTCGGCAGAGGAGGCAGGTTAGCACACTGGGCTTTCTGTGTGGCTGCTGGCCTCCCTTCTCCTTTCTAGGGGAGGCATTTGAGCTTTGGTTCTGTTGGGGGTGGAGGGTAGTGACTGCCTTGCTGTGCTTTCTTCCTTGTTCCCAGGGTGGAGAGGCTGTTGGTGGCAGTGGCTCTTTGGAGTGGCTGGACTTGGACGGAGATGTCACCGCCTCCAGGTTGGGTCTCTGTCCTTTGCTTTGGAAGAAAAGGTGAGAAACAGCTGCTCATTCTGCTATGGAACCTGCTCATGTTGCTTGTTTGTCCCTTACAATGTGGAGCGGGAGGAGATAAATGTAGCAGCCGAGGTCTGAATGAGGCTCCGTCTGAGCCAACTTGGCGAGTGATGTGAAAACGCTGAGCTGGGTGCTTAGCTGACAGTTGGCAGGAAAATGGGCTTGGCCCTCATTTAGTCCCTCTTCAGTATTGCAACTGTCTTCATCCTTGAAGAAGTATATCATTTGATGTTTCCTATGGCCACAGGATTCACGGTGGTGTGTTTGCAGGTGCTTTGGTACAGCTTCTGCACTTACCTCCCTGTAGGCCCTTTACATTCTGCCCTGCCTGTGTATGAATTTGTGATGTGTGTCAGTTAGCTTCCAGGACTATGGCTTCCTCTGAGTTTTTAAAGGTATTGTGGGACTGAGAATCCTTTCCCCGCCCCATAACCAAGGTCCCAGAACTATGCATAACAGAGGCAGGACTTCCAGGAACAACATTTTGGGTTTCTGCCTTCTCCTACCCACTTCATCTGCATTGTGACTGTGAAGCATGAAGTCAGAGTTGGTTTGTTTTTATTTTATTTTATTTATTTTATTTTTTATTTTATTTTATTGGGGAACAGCCATGGTCATTGTTTACACATTGCTTTTCATGCTACAATGGCATAGTTAACTCTTTTAGGGAGGGTACAGCTCACAGTGGCCCATGTGGGGATTGAACTGGCAACCCTAGTGTTATCAGCACCACGGTCTAACCAACTGAGCTAACTGGTCACCCCATGAAGTCAGAGTTTTATATGTGATTGGTGGCAACTACTTTTCTTCTTTATAGTCATGCTTCATCTATTGCTGCATAGAATTCCCTTCCCAGATCTAGATGCCTTGTGGGTTTGATACTGGGAGCAGTTCCTATAGCCAAAATGGCTACTGCCTTGGGGACTTCCTATAGAAAATGTCATCGGGGACTTGGTGCCTGTGAGGCCACTGGTGTCAGGAGCTTTCCAGCACCGTGAGCACAGGGCTTCTGGGAGGGTTATGAGGACCAGGAACCTTGGTCCCCGGTTCCTTCAGAGGAATCTAGCTGCTCTTTCTAGCTGCTGGGAACATTCGATGGCAACCGAAGGTAGTCTTGGGCCTGACCTTGGTAGTGAGGGATGTTGGATGCAGGAGCAGAGGTGCTCTGATGCAGGAGTGTGACCAGCAGGCCAGTCCTCACAGAGGGCTGTGAAGGGTCGGAGGATGATCCTTGTGTTGAGTGACTGAGGGCTCTGTGGGGTGACAGGTAAGGTGGGCGAGGTGACACAGGTTGAAGTATATCAAGGCCAGGGTGGACTCAGGACTGAGGCTGGGGTTCTTGTTTTGTCAGAGTGGCCCTCCCTTTTTGTAGTGAACCCATGAAAGGAGACCTGTCTTAGGTAAGGTTTCTGTTGAGAAGATGCACTGAAAATGTGTTTTTGCCAGGGTTCAGAGGTTTGCAGAGAATGGCTCTGCAACTTAAAGAACCATGGATGTTGGGGTTGGATAAAGCTGCTTCACCTCCTAGCTCTACAACAGAAAAGCTGTGTGACCTTAGGCAAGTTACTGAGTCTCTGAGCCTGTTTGCTCACCTCTAAGTGAGGATACTACCATCTCTCTCTCTCAGAGATCCTTGTGAGATGGGTTGAAAAAGCTAGAACAGGGCCGGCCAAGTGGCTCAGTTGGTTAGAGTTTGCTCAAGAGTGTGAGCTCTGAGCAACAGGGTTGCTGGTTCTATTCCTGGCCTGAGCTAAGCTGCCACTGAGCTGCCAGCAGGTGGCAGGATGGCTCAGCTTAAAAAAAAGAAAAGAAAAGAAAAAGCTAGAATGTGGAGTGCTTTGCCGAATACCTGACACCCCACAGCTCCGCCATTAGGAGGCTCTTGTGGGGAGCTGTCCAGGAACACAGCCTTCCTTTTGCTTTTCTGTCCTCCCATCTCACCCCAGCTGACCCATCCACCCCAGAGAACACTGGCCTCCTGCCTTTTTACGGCCTGCTCAGGCTCTCTAGCCTCGTGGGCACTGACGTGACCTTTCAGTAACACCAAGAATGTCCCCTTTCATTCAGAGGGCAGAGAAGGATTGGAGAATCAAGGCGCCTCCCACTCGCTGCCTCCACTCTTCAGCACCAGCTCTAGGAGCCTGTGGGCTGGGCTGGTCCTGCCCAGCTACCGTAGCCAGTATCATGTGCCAGCCCTGATAGAAATGGGGTGGTGTGGGGCTCCAGCCTGTGATTGGGCAGAGGGACCGGGAGAGAACCCGCGAGAGTGGAGAGAACTGCACGATGTCAGCTGGGTTCCCAGTCAGTTTGTGGCTGTGTCTCCATGAGAGTCTCTCCTCTGCCCTTGGGCGGGGTGGGCTTCCCAGCCTCGCCTTGTTCTTTCTTTCCCCCTTTTATCATCTCCCTGGAGGAGCAGTCATGGGGAGCCTGCAAAGCCAGAGCTGACTCCACAGCCAGGGGAATTGGCCAGTCTGCCTCCTTTCCCTCTGGCAGTGGTGATCTGGACCAGAGAGGAATTTGTCCTTGAAAACTGTTCATTGCCCTTGTTCTTGGCATTTTTCCATTTGGAATTTTGGGGGCTTAACCTTAAGTGCCCAGAGCCTGGGAGACACTGGCACTGCTGCCACTGCCGCTGCTGCCTTAGTGAGCAGACGCTGCTGCATCCTGCTGCAGAAGCTGTCAGGCCCCGAGGCAGCCGGGAGGGCGCAATGGAGTCCTGACAAGCAGGGGACCAGGCAGCAGATGGGGAGTGCAGGAACCGCCCAGGATGAAGGGCAGCCATCTGAGAGAGACAGAGGTCCTTGGCTGGCAGGGAACTGAAGGCTGGCCCTTGGTAATCTACCCAGACATGTAGCATAAGGTTGGTATTTTCTTTTTCACCTCCTTTCTGGGACCTTGTCTAATGTGCTTAGCAGAGTAGCCGTTTGTAGTCTGATGGCATGTGGCATCTTGGGTGAGTGTGCGGTGTCTGCGGTGACCCTGCCAGACCGCCTGCTCTCCTTGCCGGTCTGGATGCTACTATGAAAGAAACTGAATTGGGTCAGCAGAAGCTGACTGGCAGCTGCCACTTTCCGGGAGGAAACACAGAGGGAGCTCTCTTCTAGGGAGAAGGAAGTAGTAAATCTGAGGGCTTGAGATGGCAGAGAAGGAAGCTGAATACTCTCAGGGAATTCAGAATGAAGACCCCCCTCCCTGCCCCTTGCATCTGAGGGTCTGGATCTGAGCTGGGTTTGTCTGAGACCTTCAGATGGGCTTATGGTTGTAATTCAGCCATGGTCTGTGGTCAGAAAAATTTTGGAGCAGTAGTGCAGGCACGAAACATATATGTATAGAATGTTTCTCAATAACTGCTTTTTCTATCTGTGTGGCTTTTTAACTGGTTTGTTATTCCAGTTGTTCTCCATAGCCTTTGCCTCACATGCGACAAAGGGTGTCTTTCCTCTTTTCTGTACATGCCACTGTGTGTGTTTGGCCTTGTGCCCACAGCTATCAGCGCCACTCTTCTCCAGAGCATACTCGTTCAGGTATCTGGGCCTGTCCTTGTCCTTGGACCACTGCAGATTGAGTCATCTCACAACGTCCTTTTCAGAGAAGAGACTGCCGTTGTGTCAACTCCCACCCACACACTGCCCCCTTATCCATCTGTTCACTCTCTCACCCATCCATCCTTCACTGTCCTTCTAAGGCTGCACTGAGAAATCTTAATGCTTTCTAAGACAGCAGCAGCAAACATTCTGTAAAGAGCCAGGTAGTATTTTATGGCTCTGCAGGACATACAGTCTCTGCTGCAGCGACTCAGCTTTGCCAGTGTGGTGCAGAGCAGCCTGGACAGGATGCAAATGAATGACGTGTCTGTTTTTCCACAAGACTTTACTCACAGAAACAGGCAGCAGACCCAGTCTGGCCCACAGGCTAGAGTTTGTGGACCTCTGCTTTGATAGCCTCTGAGGTTGCATTCTGCTCACAGAATGTAAATCTCCTAAGCAGAGTGAACCCCTTAGAGTGCACTGCTCCGACTGAGATCTGGTTCTAGTGTCCAGTCACGGCATCCTGGGACTGGCATGCAAGCCGAGGGCGGCTGCATTCAGGCTCTTTGGTGAGCCTCTGGTGGATCCTGACCCTATCCAGCCCCTTCCCTCCCATCGTCACCCTGGAGCGCCCACGCAGCTGGCTCCTTCAGAAACCCGGATGACGGATGGCGCAACCCTGCAGAAGCAGCACATGAGGGCCTCTCTAGAAGGCCATGTGTGACCCAGGAAAAGGTTAACGTACAGGTAGAAGCTGTCAGTCTTCAGAGAAGGCTCTCACTCATCCATGGTCACACAAGGCACTTGGTGGCAGAATAAAGTATGACTGCAATCTAGAATTATTTTTAAACTTTGTATTATGGAAAATTCCAAATACACTACAAATGATCAACTCCTAGCTAATTTTGTTTCATTTATATCCCAAGTCACTTGCTCCTACTCCTCCCCACTGTTTCTAAACAAATCCCAGACATATTCACCAGAGAATACTTCAGCATTATGTCTTTGAAAGGTATGCCGGAGGCTAAAACTATTCCAGGGCTGGTTCACTGAGAACAGCCGTGCTGTGGAGACCAGCTCTCCTCTGGGTCTCCTGCCACACACTCAGGATTGGCTGCCCCCACTACCAGATCTCAGAGGGTTTCTGTTGCAGGGGCTGGAGGTGCAGCATAGCCTCTGGCCATGTACCATTGAGACTTCCATTCCCACAGTGCTTCTGGAGCGTCTGCTCTACTCTGTTTCCAGAAGATATCTTTTTTTTTTTTTTTTTGATTTTTTTAATGGACAAAGCTGCTCGATTTAGCTAAAATGTTTTTTTTATTTTTTAAAATGCTCATTTACTTTCCTGGCTATTCCCTTAACCAAAATGAATTTGTGTTTCTGCTAATCCCACAATCTAAGAATATGCTAGTCGAAGGACTGTTCTAATCTCCTGCACTGTGACATCATAAGCTGCCTGTGACGCCATGCCAGTGTGTCCCAAGCTGTCAGGAGTCCAAAGCCCTGTTGAATTCAGGGGCTCTTTCAGAGGCGCTTGGATGGCCACCGGTTTCTACTAAGCTGGGTTTGCATTTCCCCTTGGTAACCCTTCCTCCACTGTGACAGGAGAGTGCTGGGGGAGCAGAGTGACAAGGACCACCTGCCACCCAGGGCCCAGATTCAGCAGCAGCGGTGCTACGTGGGGGATTTGCGGCAGCGAATCCTAGTGGGACAGATTAGAGCCAAACAGGACCTGGAATTCGACCACGCGCGTGTCAGCCGGCAGATTAAAGACAGTAGGTGCCTGCCACTCATGGTGTCCTCTCCACTTTCTCCTCTCCATGTTCATCCTTCCCCAGCCTTCTGTATTCTGTCTGTGTTCTTTGTGATATGATGGAATCTTTGGTATTAGGCATTCTCTCCGCTCTTTTAGAGACCAGAGGCTCTTGCAAGGGGGCTGGAAGCAGGAATAAGGAAGCACCTTCCTTTTGCCCCATCTCACGTGCACATTTGTCCAAGCTTTGCTGCCCGCCCTGGCATGTACTCGCTGCTGTGCTGAGGTCTGGGGGCTTCATTGCCTCGCCCTGTGGTAAGGGGGCCCTGTCGCCTCATTTCAGCACATTACCCCAGCCAGCTCCTTCACTCCATACAGGTCCAGCTATTGCTGGAGGTGTCTGAGTCTGGGCAGCCATGGGCAGGGAGGGAGGTCCTGACCTTCTCTCAGGGTGTTTTTGGTTCCCAGACCAGCAGTGGCTGCTCAGAGAAGAGACCTGGCTGGCCAGCTTGCAGCAGCAGCAACAGCAAAACCGTGCAGCAGAGAAAGAACTTGAGGCCTCTGTGACAACCGATGCTTGGCTTCAGACAGATCCTGAGACTCAGCCATCCCCACTGGTCCGAAGTCAGAAGAGGGTGGTGCGACTGCAGCTCCTGCGGAGACGCGCTCTTCGGGCAGCAGAGAGGAACATCCGGTGGAAAAGGGTCTCATTCCAGCGAGAGAGAATCATCAAGAAGCAGAGGCTGCTGGAGGCCCAGAAGAGACTGGAGCAGCTCAAGGCATTGTGCTGGCTCCAGGATGACCGGCCCCAGAAACCCCCACACCAGGTCCTCAGCCCCGATGCTGTGGTCCCAGGGCCTCAATGTAGAAGTGAATCGACAAGTTGCAGCTCTTTGAGCCTCCAAAGGCTCTGCCTCCGGTACTTGCCCCAGCTACACAGGTACAGCCAATCGTCACCTAGAAGCATTGGCTGCGATTTACAGCCTCGTTGCCCAGGCAGCGTTTGTTACTTCCTAATGCCCCAGTTCCCTCAATCTGTGCAATGGAAAGATGTGTTTACCCCTCTTCCTCGTCATCTTTTCCCTCTCCTGACTCCTTTTCTTTCTCTCTAGTTGCTGTCTCCCTAAGACTCAGGCTTTCCCCTTCTCCCACTGAGGGGCAAGGGCAACTCTTGCTTCTTTGGTGCTAACTTCTGAGTGAGACTCTCCACCTCATTTTTTATCTTTAGACCCTGACTGTCCGCTTACATCTCCTTGTGTATGTCCTGCCCCCCGCCGTGTCATCTTGCCTCATACCAGACTCTCTTCCCACATGTTTTCTCCCCTCCCCTCCCCACCTGACCTGCCATCTCAGTGAGCTTCCTGACTCTACCTCCCAACTGCTGAGCGAGTGGAACCCTAGCTTTCTGACTCACAGGCACAATTTTTTATCTCCTTTGTTTTTTTCTCCTTCACGCCTTACATTCAGTCAAGGTGAGGCTATGTTACCTCCCAAAGTGCTTGGAGCAGGGGACTGTGTCTACCTCTTTATATCCTCTGGGCCTCACACACGCCTTGCCCATAGTAGGTGCACAATTAATGTCTGTTGGTGTCATGTTGGCTCACCTCTCTGTTCTTCAGACTACTAGGCAGACTTTTTCAAATACTTTTTATTATGAAACTTTTTCAAAGTTGAGAGAAAAGTATACCCATCACTCATATTCAGCAATTATCAGGATTTACCATGCTTGCTTACTTTCTCCTCCTTCCTTTTTTTTTTTTAGCTGAGCCACCCTGCCACCTGTTAGCAACTCAGCGGCAGCTCAGCTCAGGCCAGGCATCGACCCACTGTTGCTCAGAGCTCGCAGTCTTGGGCGAGCTCTTAACCAACGGAGCCACTCGGCCGGCCCCCCTCCTTCTTTTTTCTGATGAAGTGTTTTAAAGCAACTTACAGACATCATGTCATTTCAATCCTACATCAAGTATACACATTTAAAACATAAGGACTTTTCTTTAACCACATTGTCATTATCACACCTAACAAGATTAATTATTCAGTATAATCTACAACCTAGGCCATATTCAAATTTCTCTAATTGCCTCAAAAATATTTATGTATAGTTAGTTGTTCAAGTTACAATCTAAATAGGATTTACACACTGCATGTGGTTATGTCTTTTAAGTTTCTTTTACAATTTTTTTGTCTTATTTTTATTTATTCATATTGCTTCATATCATCGATTTGTTAAAGAAAGTGGGTCAGTTCTTTAGAATATGCCACATTATAGATTTGTTTGTTTGATTCCTTGTAGTGTCATTTAAATTGTTCCTGCATTTCTCATATTACCTATAAACTGGAAGTTTTCTTTAAAGGCATGATTAGATTCAGATTCAGTCCAGTTTTTATATAAAATAAAAATTGAGGAACAGGGTGTACCTGAGACCTCTTTTAGAGCCAAGACGATAATCCCCAGTTTCTTTTACCTACCGATAGGTTTTCCCTGACCCCAAAGACTGCAGGGGCCAGTGACATTGGCCTAGTTTTTAACCAAATTAGGTGAGACTTTGTAGTCCCTGTGTCAGCAGAAAGTATGGACCGCTTTCTTTTCTGAAATGGCTTTCTTGTCTCCACAGTGTTTTCCTGAGTCAGGAGATCTCCAACACATTACCTCCTGTGCCTGACTCAACTGATCAAACATCAGAGAAAACCCCATCAGAAGAATATTCACCCCCATCTGCTTCTTACCCTCCAAGGACAGGGAGTTTCAGCAAGAATACCCTCCGTTCCTCCGGCGAGGGCCAGCTGTGCACAGCCAGGGCAGCCTTGGCCAGATGGGGAGCCTCGGCCCCAGGCACCTGCCGCACCATGAGCTCCAAGTCTGCCAGCATACAGGAAATGGAAAGAGCGGGTGAGCGGCTCCGTCGGATGGTATCCCAGAGCTTAGCATCTCTGGGCCAACCAGCTAACAAGCTGCAGCCAAGGGACGAGCCAGAGGCCCTCACCCCTTCCACGCAGACCAGAAGGGCTAAGGGATTAGCAGACTCTGGCCACGTACCAGCAGAATGGCGAAAAAGGGAACTTGGGACCCACAAAGCTGCTAAAGGAGCCGGTTGTAGTTTCTCACATCCCCGTGGACCCAAACAGGCAGCTGAGCGTGGAAAGGCAGCCAAGACTTTGGGGGCAGAATCCAAAGCACCTTCTCCAAGCAGGGCATCAACAGGACAGCAGAGGGTGCTGGCAGCTAGGGTCAGAGAGGTTATCAAAAAGTCCTCTCGCATGTCTCCTGGCAGCCATTTGAAGAGGCAACACAGTGCAGGGGACCCAGACACCATGGCCTCACTCACAGATTCCAGCCCCGTAGTGGATCACACAAGAGAAAAAGATGGTGATTTATCTGATGCAGATAGCAGTTACTCAGTGGATTCTCTCTCCTGTGTCCATGCCAAAGCCCGGATGGAGACGCTGAAGCCAGAGGACCCCCAGGGGAAGGAGCAGGACCTCCCAGAGCCAGAAAACTCTGAAAGTGACTGCAGCCAAATATCTGAAGACTCACTGTCTGAGAAGGGGTACCAAAGCCCACAGGACAACCCAGGGGACAGTTATCTTCCCAACGGCCACGGCCACCTCAGGGCCAGAGCTAGAGACTCAGGGAGGGGCTTCATCTCATCCTCAGACTGTGGACTTGTTGCCCAAGCTCACAGGAGCTTCTCGCTGGATAGCCTGATTGACGCTGAGGAAGAACTGGGGGAAGAGCAGCAAGAAGAACCTTTCTTCGGTTCAGCTGACGAGATGCCCACAGAGACTTTCTGGCACCTGCAGACCTCCAGTCTGCCCGTGGTGGGCCAGGAGGCAATGTGCAGTCTTGGTCCCACCAACCAGAGAACAGGAGTCAGGCTGGATGCCATCCTGCCAATGAGCAGTTCATTTTACCTGGATGCACAGTCCCAGCCCCCCTGTGAGCAGCCTGAGTCAGAGGTGGAGGCAACCTCCTCAGAACAAGTCAACACTCTCCAAGGCATGCAGGTTCCAGGACGGAGCCCCCTGTTGTCCTTGGATTCCTGGTTTTCCTGTGACTCCAAGATCAATCCCAGCAGTCCTGCAGGAATAGCGAGTTCTTTATGTCCAAGTCCTGATGTCCAGGAATTTCAGCCCTGTGGTTGGGAGAGGCCTGGAGACTGGCCAAATATGGAAGAAGTAAAGCCATCATGTACAGAAGCAGTCCTGCCTTTCAGCTCCAAATTGCCCCCAGGCGGTGCTGAGCTGCCCTACAGTGTAAAAGCTGTGTATACCATCCCTGCTTCTGACACATCTAAGCTGTCACTCTGGGGGTCTTACAGGCTTCTTCAGCAAGGAACTGATGGCACCTTTCAGGCCAGAGGTGTCTCTGACACGGTCCAGCAGGGCAACTCTGAAGCATCCAACAATTCTAGCGTGTCAAGCGTGCTGGCTCCCTCTGCCGCCTCATTTACTCATGTAGGCAGTGCTCATGAGAAGGACTGGGCTGCCCCTCAGCAAAAGTACCTGTTTGAACTAGCACATCCTGTTTTAGAGGCCGTGGGAGAGGCCAGGCCAGCTTTCACCTCCCTTGAGGAAGACTCTTGTTCCCTGGCCCAGGTGCCTGGCCAGCGACGAGATACTCTATTGGCAGTTGCCTCTGGGGCATCTAGCAGTCTGGATTTCAACAACTTCCCTATCCATCTACCCAAACTTAGGCGTTTGAGAGCAGAGAAAGAACAGGACAGTTTGAGTGTCAGATTAGAAGGTACTTCAGATTTCTTTACAGCTAGTGAGAAAGAGGTGAGTTACACTGGAAATTACTCAGCAGACATAGAATCATTGACTTCTGGGACTACGAATGCACAGGTCTTTGCTTCAGAGAACAAGATAGAAGATTCCATGAGAGAAGCATGTGAAATCCAACAGAACGACTTTGAGGAGTCCTCTCAGAGTAGCAGGGAGCCTGGCTTAATGACTGCCTCTGATGAAAATTTCTTCCTGAAGAACCCTTGTCAGAGTAATGTCACCATAGCCACCAAAGAAGACCACTGGCCCCAAGGCTGGGCTCCTCTTGGGAAGAGTAGTGCAGGCCAAGCGGGGCAATTAAGTCACATCAGCCACCACCCCCTCCAGGAAGATAAGGCAGACTACCAGGAGAGCTCCAAGAACATGGTCGGAAGACACACCAATCTTTCCTTTGCCTTTCCATTAGGTCCAGAGCTATACCTCCACTCTGCTCCCTGGGATCCATTTCCACCTTCCTTGCAGCCACCTCTCTTGGAAACAGTCTATGTGACCAAAAGCCGGGATGCCCTGACAGAAACTGCCTTAGAGATCCCGGCTTGCAGGGAAGCGAGAGTGCCTTCCCCACCCCCCAGGGAAGCCTGGGGCTTTGGTCATGAGTACCAAGTTCTCCAAAATGTTTATGTGAAGAAGAATGTGCCAGCGCTGTTACTAAAACAGAATTCCAAGATGGCCTCCTCTGAGCAGGTCACAGCAGAGAGGCCAGTTGGTCTGAACACCCAGGAAGGTAGTGGAGAAATAGGGAAATGCCCTGGAAATGTTCAAGAAGAAAGTCATCATTCCGTTTATTTTTTTGTTGCTCAGAACAGACATGTTCTTACATCTACCAGCAAAAAAGTATGCGAATTGGAAAATCAAGTTGGAAATTTAAACACAAACAGTCTTCCAGCACTCAGAGAGGGAGAAAAGGCCACTGTACAGTCCTATTGCAGTGTCTCGTCAGACAGTTCTGGGCCTAGGAAGCCTCTCCTCGTTAGGGAATCTGAGACCGCCGGGGAAGAAAAGCAGGATCCGAATGCAGTCCTCAGACAGACCCGCGCCCTTGACAGTAACAGACAGCTCCCTTCTGGGGCCAGGTCTGATTTCATCTGTGAAACCATCAGTTTAGGCCCTGACAGGGACACGCTGGGGGAAACTCCTCTTTCTTTGAAGTCTAGATCAATACATCGTAGAGTAAGCAGCCCAGAGATAATGGCCCAGGATGAGAGTCCAACCCACAAGGGGGAAGGGAAGAATGAAACTGGGCTTCCTGGAAAATCTCTCCATCCCAAAGACAGCTTGGAAGAGTTTAAGCTTTCATGGACAGAGGCCGCACATGACAGATTCCAGTCAGTTACACGCTCTCAGGAAAGAAACCTCAGTGAATGCAAGGGCCCTGGAAAGTCACAAGAAACACCAAATCCCAAAGAACTACCTGCTGGAAATAAAAAGAATAAAAGAGTTCATAATGCTGATGAAATGGCGAAGCTAATTAAGAGTGTAATGCAGCTGGAAAATGGTATCTTAGAAATCGAATCCAAGCAGAATAAGCATTTATATGCTTCCCACATACTGGGAGTCAGTGATAAGTTTGTGTTCCAGGACCAGAATGACCAGGAGATGGCTGACCATGTCCTGAGGCCAGGCAGCTCTAAAAACCACTTGTCTTTCAAGGATCAGCCATCTCCAAAGCAGACAGATGATGCTATCTTTAGTGATGGTGAAGCTGGAGAAATGGAGGTTAACAGTAGCATTGGGAAAGATTCCCAGGCCCAGAAAATTACCCTGAGCCCCTTCAAGTCAAGGGAATGGGTACAAGACCTTAAATTTGCGAGAGAACACACCCACCCAGCTGTACTAGACACACCCGCCAGGGACGTTTGTGATTATTTAGGGACATGTACAGCTCCCAAAGAGCCCACCAACACTTCTGTTAATCCAAGGAGAACGAAAGCATTGTCAAGAGCTGTGCCCGAGAGGTCTTCTGAGAAGGAGGGCAAGTTGGTGCATGCATCAGCAAGACCCAGAGGGCAGCCCTGTGGCTTGGGAGGTCTTGAGGAACCGGAGACTGTGACAGGCTTTCAGGACAGCCAAGTTGCCAAAACCGTAAGTAGTTCTAAGCAAGAGGAGCCAAAAGCTCAAGGCAGAGTTAAAGAAATGACTACGCAAATAGGAGAGAGCCTGCAGGAGGAATACAAAATGGCCTCAATGACCGAGAAACTTCTCAGTCCAAACCAGCATTGTATTGGCACATTTTTCAGCCAGGAGACCAGCCCATGGCTGAGCCGGCCAGACCCCTCTACGGCCCCTCACCGAGACCTGAGTAACACCTTATACTTGAATTCCCCAAGGCTGCCAAGAAGCTATCTGCATGCATCCGACGCTATAGGCATCTCTTCAGTTGACTATGTGCTGGATCCTACAGTGTTGAAAATGCCTGACAGTCCCTGGGTACCTGAAGCAGGATATCAGGGCCGGTGCGGAGAGCCCAGAAGCCACAGCCCTCAGGGAAACGTTAGAAGTGGCTCCTCCGTGGCACGTGCTGCTGGGTATGGGTCTGCGGTCTCCATGGCTGTAGTATCTCAGGGCCAATCCAGTGCACAAGAGAGCATGCCCCTGGGTGCTGAGGGCAGGAGATCAGCAAGCACCAGCCCCCAATACCAAGGAGAGAGCCCCAGCAACACCTTACTGTGCCTGAGTACCGAGGCAGCTGTACAAAGAGGAACAACAAGAGCCGGTTCCCTGAACAGGGTCTCGAGCCCACTTGAAAAGAGGGCCAGCTGTCCCTTGGAAGAAGGTAATGACCAAGGCAGGGAGGTGACGCAGAAGGCAGAGAAGGAGGCCGAGGACCTCAGTGCTACCAGTGCTGCTTTCTCAGCGCTTGTGTCTCTGCCAAGGGTGCCACACCTGGAACCCTCTGCCCATACATCCACGGGCCTGGCCGTGTTGGAGGAGATGAGACAGGCAAAGGCCCAGGGAAAGCAGCTTCATGACCTGCTGGCTGGGGGCACAGTCCTTCCTTACTATGAGACGCTATTAGAACCTGAATGTTCTTCGACGGCCCCTCGCAGGCCTCAGTGTCTACAAACGGACCAGCCAGTGTCAGACAGGACCAGGAATGGGGACGATGCACAGGGATTTCACATGTCATCTCCCTCTGCGGAACCAGGACATGCGTGGACTGATAAGAGGAAAGTCCTTCAGGCCACAGCCCTCTCTACAGATAGCTTTCAACCTCTGTCCAACACTGAAATCAACAGAGGGCCATGGCCACCTTCCCAGACTTCCTCCCATGCTGACCCTGCTCTGGGCAAAAGCCATTGTTCTGGAGAACTGAGGCATTACCTGGGAGCAGGTGAAGAGTTTGTATGTCACTCTAGCCCTTTTGAAATCATAGAGAGAAAGATAGAGACAACTAGCATACCTTCTGCTGATCTTTTGGGCTCGGACAGCCTTCCTTCTTCAGCAGCTGCAGAGGAGGACAGGAGGGTAATGCCAGAGAAAGAAACGGCTGCCTTATCTTCTCAGGACCCCTCTGATGACCCTGGAGTGCGTCGGCGTGGGCAAAGCCAGTTAGCTCCCTGGGAGACTGCAGAGGGCAGGCCCCCTGGCACTCAGGAGAGCAGCCTGGCACACCCAGAACCAAGAACTCTGGATACCACATGTGGAGGAGGTTCGGGTAACTTCTTAGTGGCTGCACAGGAAGGGAAAACAGCCTGTTTTGAAAGTCAGGTTGTGATCTGTGCTGTTCAGAATTCTGCCAGTCTCTCCGAGCCTAACCAAGACCACATCCAAGGCCTCAAGGCTTCCAATGTCTTAGAAGAAGGGAGGGCAAGTCCCAAACAAGGTACCATCCTGCTCGGAGCCCTGACAAGGGTTGAACTGGAGGCTCCAGCACAGCAGTGTGTGAGGTGGAACGGGAGTGTGGGCTCTGGGCCGGCAGGAGCCTGCAGGGCTGGCAGCAAACATCCCAGACCAGCTCCATTGCCAGATCAAAGGCCTATCCCAGATCCTGGGGGAGTTAGGGAGGAGGCCTCATGCAGATGCCCACAGGAAACTTCAGACCGTGTTGCCTTCTCAGGGAGCACTGAAGGTAAAAGGACTCTCAGCCTATCTGGGGGCCAAGAAGACAGCAGAGCTCTTCCTTGCCGACAACTCTGCAACCCTCAACCCATTGCTTCTCAGGCCTGCTCCCCACCTTCCTCCACTCTACTGTGTTACAGAAATGGTGACCTGGAGAAGGGGACTTCTGAGGCTACCCCACAGCCTCTCCAACCCCCCTGCATAGTATCTGCCAGGGCCTGTGGCATGGATGAGAGGGGAGAGAGCTATTCCAGGAAACCTGATGTGCTCTTGGCACGCGGCCTTGAGCCTAAAGGCATTCATGTGAAATTTGAGCCAATAGACAGCGGCACTCTGGAGTCCTTTGTTGCCGCTGCTGTCCTATCCCTGGCTCAAGGGTGTAGCTCCCCTGCTGCCCCCGATGCGAGGACAAGTTTCCTCAGTCACTCTGTTGCTGATGGAAGCTCAAGGTCAGTAAGGGATCCTGAGAAAATGGTTGCCGAGGAGAAAGCCAGCACTGAGCTTGAGGCTGCCCCTGTCCCTCCCGGTGTGCACCCTGAGCCACTGAGGAAGTTTCAGGACAGCTCACTAGGTGGCCAGAATGCACAGGAGCCTCAAACCAAACCAGAACTACCTGTAACAATCGGGAGACCACACACCCTGAATTTAAGTGAAGAGTCTGTTGAGACTGAACTGCTGGTGGAACCACAGAATGGATGTTTAGGAAATGCCATCCGATGCTTTCCAGAAAAGGCACAACTTTCCACCGAGTCCAGGGATCACAGTGGCTTAGATCCCCAAGCCAAGCTCATAGCAAAGTTAAAGCATAGCTCCAATCCCCAGGTTGACAGGCCCTGGGAGGAGGAACAGAAGCAGAGAGAGCAGGTTTCAGGTGGTGGTGAAGACCCAGCCCAGGTCAGGTGTCCCCCACGTTCCAATGAGGGTGGCTTGGACGGCTGTCAGATTAGAGATGCAAGCAGAGAGGAGGGGGATGCAGCCAGGGCCCCTGTGTCCAGGACGTTCTCATCCGGCTTTGAAGACCCTGTCGCTGTGCCCTTGGGGCCCACGGCCCGGAGCCCTGGCCAGCCTTTTCCTGGCAGTGAGCAGTCGGCTCCCCACCACAGACGCTCACTTCCTGTGATTGCGATCTTCTCCGGCCCCCAAAACTCCAGGTCCTCCCCCAAACCACAGTTCTCTGTGGTCAGCTCTTCCAGGTCTCTTCAGGAGCTGAACTTGAGTGTGGAGCCTCCTTCCCCCACAGATGAAGAGACACAGGAGCCTAACAAATTGTGGAACCCACGTCCTAGGGGCCATTCCTCAGGGAAGTCAACGGCAGGAGCGTCTCCGAAAGCTGAGGACTGCCATCAGGAAGCCTCGTTTAACCGGGACAGCAGCACTGCTGATCACAAGCCCTTTCAATCTGCCAGCCCTCCTTACCCAACATCTTCAGCTCCCTCGTGCATGCCAACCCCTGATTTCATGAGCAGCTGGCTACACGGTACCCTGCAACAGGCCTGGCAGGGAAAGCCAAGGAGTCCAGGTGGCCAGGCCAGCCCAGAGAAGCAGCTCTCTGAGGCAGATGAAGGACTATTGCACTTCGGCTCCAGTGACCTCAATCCCAGTGTCCTGCCCTGGCATCCAGAGGGTCGTGCACACATCGGCTGGAAGCAGTATGTGTTTGGCAGTGCAGTTGATGTCTCCTGCAGCCAGACATCCCAGGGCCTTGGACCATCCAATATGGCCCGGTGCTCCAGCGTGGACCACGGCCTAGGAGACCGGAACAGCCCATTCCACTCCCACCTCAGCACCTGCGCCAGGGCCCAGGGCCTGTCGAGCCCACATAGCAGCACTGAAAATGTCCAAGGTTCACATGAGGCCTGGAAAGTATGGGGTTCCTCGCCTGCCTTGGGGAACCCCCACGTCCTGACCGGTCCTGAAGGAGCAGTTTCCACTAGGAGTCCTGACAGAGCCCAGTTCCCAGGCACCCCTGATGAAGCAGGCTCTCTGAGGCGTGAGCCCCCCTGGGCTGATGGAAGTGCTGCAGGTCCAGTGGATGAGATCATGCTGCTCTACCCATCAGAGGAGGGCGGCCCTGTGGGACAGCCCAGGATGAACACCTTGGAGCAGGGCACACAGACGCTGGGCTGCAGGCGCCGCTGGAGCCACACCGACGTCTCGTCTGCTGAGCTGGACGCCAGCGCAGCACCACCCTCTGATCTGGTCTCCTGGACCAGCATGCACAACCTGTCTGTACACCTCTCGCAGCTCCTGAACAGTACCTCAGAGCTGTTGGGGAGTCTCTCCCAGCCGAGTGTGGTTGAAAAGGAGCAGAACGCCAAGAGGGAGACCCCCGATGAGGCGGCCCGGGCCCTGAGGACAGATGGCTGTACTCAGACCACCGTGGATGAGGGCATCCAGACTGACCTGGCCCCGCCACCTCTGCACCTCCAGGCCCCAGAGGCCAGCCCTCGGGAGAGCAACATGGTGCTTGAAGTGCTGGGTTCAGATATCGCCATATCTCAAGAAAAGGGATGTGTCCCAGGGCCACCTGAGAAGATAGAGGCAGAGGAAACAGCATGGGAAACAGCAGGACCTCCAGATCTTCAGGAAGAAAGCACCCACAGCAGGCCCCTGAGCCCTCCAGTATCTTCCTCCCACTTGTTTCAGAAGGCCCCTTCTGGGCAGAAGCTCCCTCCTGTGAGCCCTCAGGCTTCTGATGCCTCCCTGCCCGCTGGCTCCCAACCTGAGGAGTCCTGCCTGGCTGGCAGCAGCCCCGGCCTCAACACCTCTCACTCCCCAGGGCCCTGCCCCGGTGCTGTGGAGTCTATGGGCGAGCATAGGGCCCAGAAGCAGCTGGGCCCCACGAGGGCCTTGTTGGTAGACAGGGCCTCCTCCCCAATCCTCATCGTCAATGCTAGCACTCAACGAGCAGGGCTCCCCCTAGGCCCTCTGCTTCTCTCAGCCCCCTCAGCTCGACTGCTTGAAGGCCACCAGAAGCTTGTCTCCAGTCCAGACCTTCCCCTCGATGCCCCCAGGCCTCCAGCGAGTAATTCTTCTCAAACCACCAATGAGTCAGGTGGCCCCCAGAGAGTGGGGGCTCCATGTAGAGAAGGCAGAAGTCCCTCAGAAAGGAGTGACAGCAGGTCCTTCCTTGAGGTAACCTCCCCACGCAGCCTGCAGCAGAGCCCGGAACTCCAAGTTCGTTTCTTCGAGCAGCCCTGTCAGCGGCTTCATCCCCGCCCCACCGCCTGGGTCCAGAGCAGACTGCTGCCTCTCCCACTGAGGAGCAGGAGCCAGAGGCCAGCTGATGGCTTCGTCCCTGAGGACATGGCTTCCCTGAAGTGTGGCCCACTGAGCATGAGGAGGCTGAGCCGATGGAAGAGCAGGCCAGAAAAAGTGGGTGAGAGTCCAGCGTCTCCAGTGGAGCCACAACCTGCTCTGGACGTGGCGTCTTCACTGGGAGGCCTCCAGCACCTCGGCCCCTGCCCTATCCCTGGGTTGGCTGATGATGATCACACAGGGCTCCAGGGTCCTACCTTGGGCCCAGCTGACGCCTGCCGACCTCAGGGGCTGCTGCGCCCCAGTTCTCAAAAATGCCTGGCTCCTGAGTCCCAGCACCACAGCCTGAGCGACCTCCCAGTGCACAACAAATTTAGTGACTGGTGTGGGGTTCACAATGGCTCTCCTGGGGGGCTAGGTGTGGTGGAGCTGCTGGGGTCCAGACGTGATCTCAGCTCCAGCGAGGAGGGACCAAGGCCCCCACAGCCTCCTGACGACCAGAGCCGGGATCCTGAGTGCTCCCGGAGGGAGCAGATCCCTCTGCAAGTTGGGACCCAGAACCTCTCACTCAGTGTGGAACTCACCGAAGCGAAATTGCACCGCGGCTTTGGGGAGTCAGATGCCCTGCTCCAGGTGCTGCAGAGCGGGACAGGGGAGGCACTCGTTGCCGACACACCAGGGCCTTCCACCTGGGAGGAGCTCTATGCCCGGTAAGAGCCCCGGGCCTGGAGTGGGAGGGTTGGGGGTGGCCAGAGAGGAAAGAGAAGCGTGGAGGGCTAATGGCTGGCTGCTCCCTCTCTGCTTGCTCAACTCTGGGATCTTCCCGGGGTCAGAGACAGATCTTAAAATGGAGAAGGGCATTCAGGGCCAGTCACAGTGAATCAATCAACATTTTATCCCAGGCAAAAACAAACCATTGAGACCCTCCGGAGACAGCGGGCTGAGCGCCTTCAGAACTTCCGCCGGACACGAAGCCTCAGCCCCCAGAAACAACTGAGCCTCCTGCCTAACAGGGATCTCCCCACTCGTGACCTTGACTTACCTAGCAGGCGCCGAGAGTACCTGCAGCAACTGAGGAAGGATGTTGTGGAGACCACCAGGTAAGGGTGGACCAAGAACCCTGCAGAGAGCAGGCTGTGTGGCGGAAGGGCTGTGGGGAGCATGGCCTGATCACAGCATGCCGGAGAGAGGAGGCTGCAGCTACCTTTGACAGTAATTCCAGGAGCTGGCCCTGCGTGCCTGTGGACAAGTGGAGGCAGCTGTGGGAGACGGGGACAAAGGAAAGAAGAGGGTGTGGGAGGGGCTGGGGCAGATGGGGTGGGCAGAGAGGAGTCCCAGAAGAAGATGGACACACTGGCTGTGGTGTGCTATGTGGGACTGCAGGCCTGAGCCTCAGAGTGACATGTAAAACCAAACTTAAGGCCTTGTGGGCAAAGAGGATGGGTCATTCGAGAGTGGCGTTGAACCGGCCTGGGGCGAGCAGGCTAGGGCCATCCCCCACCTGCCTTGTTAGAAGGAAGGCATCCCTCCACCCCGATGGTCTTTTCCAGGAGCCCAGGGTTGGTATCAAGATCTGCTCACCCACCATCTGACATAGAGCTGATGCTACGAGAATACCAGCGGGCCCGCGAGGAGGCCAAGGTGGAGATTGCCCAGGCCCGGGACCGACTGCGAGAGCGGACTGAGCAGGAGAAGCTGAGAATCCGGCAGCAGATCCTCTGCCAGCTGCTGAGGGTAGGGAGTGGGGTGAGCCTGATTTCAGGATAGGCCTGGAGCCTGGGACAGACCTGAGACTGGGATGCCTCTCTGTCTTGGGATGTAGTGCTTGGAGGAGGGTGTTTGACCCCTGGAGCCAGCTCAAAGCTGTGCTGTCTTGTAACGTGTCATCCTCATCACACCAGCCTGTCCCGGGGGCCAGAGTCTGGGAGGAGGCGGATTTGGAGTACAGTGGGGGTGTAGGGAGGTGTGAGGGTGTGAAGCTGAGGTGGGAGGCACTGGGGAGGTGAGAAGGGGTGGTTTGGGGGGCGGTGGGGGCATGGGTAATGAGGACTCCCCAGAAGCTGGTTGACGGTGGCCTGTCTTTCCCAGGAAGAGGAAAAACTACACACTCTGGGCACCTCCAGCTCCCTGTGCACCAGTTCCAATGGAAGCCTGTCCTCTGCTGTCACCTCTGGCTACAACAGCAGCCCAGCCTTGTCAGGCCAGCTCCAGTCCCCAGACAGTGTGGTGAGTGGGCAGGTGCTAGGCACGAGCCGGGGGCCCCGACTGCTGAGGCAAGAGTTTGGGCAGAAGTTCTGCCTTCTGGAGGCCACTGCTGACATGAGCCCTTCTCATGTATGATGGCTTTTGGTCCTTCCTCTAGGTCTGTCTTTCTCTCCGTTTATTCATTCAACAAGTGTTTCTTTTGTAGGTGCTATTTTAGGCATTGGGGATACAGCAGTGAGCAAAACTGTTCTTGTCCTTAGACTATTAGAGGGATAACTATTAATAGCTTATTTTATGATTAATTATTGTTGCATTAAGTTTTATGAAGGGATGCTAAGCTAGCGTAAAACAGGCCCTGACCAGTCTGGAAGCGCAGTAGAGATGCTCTGAAGAGTGTATTTAAACTGAGACTGGAAGGGGAAGACAGGGCCAGCTCTGGACCCGGTCGGAGCATCACCCGGTCACCTCAAAGATGACACCCAAAGGACAGACTGGGCAGGCATCAGAGTCCTGCTGAAGCGGGATTCAGAAGCCTGGGGACTCGGGAAGCAAGTTGTCTCAAGTGAAAGGGAGAGGCTGGCTGAGTCGAATGTGCAGAGAGGCTCAGTAAGTTGAGGACAGAGTTGTTCACCAGATTCAGCCACATGGATGTTACCGGGACCTCGGTGACTGCTGCTTGGTGGAGTGGTGAGGCAAAGGCTAGATTCGAGTGGGTTCAGAAGAGAGTGAGAGGTGGGAGATGGCAAACGGTGACAATCATTTCAGGAACCTTGTCTGTGAGGGGCAGGGTAGAGACACCTGTAGAGAAGGGTTTTTAAAGGTGGGAGACATTTTTGCATACTAGGAAGATGTTACTAGGAAGAATCTAGTGAAGAGGGAGAGGTGGAGGCGACAAGTGAAGAAAGAGGAATCAGCAGTGAAAGGTTCCTAAGAAGGTGGAGTGAGATCTCAATCTGCCTAGAGTCGGGAAGGCCACTTGTATGTTGCAGCCAGGATAGGAGGTGAGGATGGAGATAGAACTGTCTTTATTCACCTCCTCTTGTCTTTAAAATAGTGCTAGCAGTGAAGCAACATCCTCCACAACTAGACTGAAGAACAAAAGGACAGCAACTTGTCTGTTCCCCTTCCCCCAATTCCCCAGCACTGTTCCCATCCCCCAATTTCCCAATAAAAATTAAAAATAAATAAATAAAATCGTGCTAGGTTAGGCAGTAATGATAGGTAGGACGGTGGGTGCCTGTTAGATCCAGCAGAGGTCTAGGGTCATGTCACTGAGTTGCTGGCTGAGGTAAAGGTGAGGTGGCCGTTTCCAGATCTGGATGATCATCCCCATCTGGTTCCAGATTAGAATCTTAGGCCTGGCTGCTGACCCTGGGGCCGGACGAAGGGTCAGGTCAGGCTTCTCCCAGCCCCTTGCTTTCCCTCCCCCTGCCATCTCCCATGTGGGCTGTCTGCTGGCTACACTAAACCCAGTTCCAGCCATGGCCTCATTCCTGTTGCCACAGTGGTACAGAGGGTTCCAGTTCATCCTGAGCCCTGTTGGAACTTTCCCACAAGCAACCTTTGAGCCTATGGCTTGAAGGGCGAGATTTTCCAGGAACTGGTTTCTATTGCTGTCGACTTCTGGGGCATCCAGCCTCCTGTAACCCCAATGGGGAAGGTCTTTTTCATTGAGTCCTTATGTTGGGCACTGTTGGTGCATTTCAGAGGTGGAGGAGATCATCCTGCACTGGCTTTCTGGCACTCTGATCTCTCTCTTCCTCTGCTCTGGTGTTGAGCATCTTCTCTTCTGCAGGGGGACACAAACTTGCTTGATTCTGGCGACTCCTGGATAGGGGATGTGCGGGGCCGCTCTGCAGTGAGGAATAGTCACCTGAATCTGGCCGGGTCTGCCTGGAAGAGCTTAGCCCACAGTGAGTGGTGGGGGCGCAGCCACTTGCCTGGTGTGCGGACTTGGGGCTGAGGTCTGCTCGATGCCTCTGGAGGCCCTGACATCTCAGAGCCCCCTCTCCCCTTCATTGCAGGCCGCAGAGCCTCCCTGGGCAGTTGCTGCTGTTCGCCGTCCAGCCTGTCCAGCCTGGGGACCAGCTTCTCCTCCTCCTCCTACCAGGATCTGGCCAGGCACATCGTGGACATATCTGTGACTGACGTGAGGAGCCGCGCCGCTTGTCCCCGTGGTTCCCTTAACAGACCTCGGCTGGGGGGGAAGGGAAAAGGGAAGAGGGCGGAGGCCAGCCAGGCTGTGCGGGCTGCTTCAGTGGCTCTCCGTCTTGACAAAAGGGGGCTTTGGTAAACGCTGGCCCGAGCGACTCACCCGAGGGTCTGGTGTATCCGTACCCACTCATCTGGGTGTGGTTACTGTGTCCCTAGGTGATGGCCGCTTGCTCAGATGATCTGCACAACCTCTTCAGCCGCCAGGCAGCAGCCGGCTGGAAGTGAGTGCCTTTGTGGTGTCTGGTCCTAACCGCGTTGTCCTGCGTGCCTCCTCTCCCTTCTCCATCCTGAGCTGCTGCTCTGTGAGCCTGGAACCCGTTTTCACCCGTCCTCCTCATTTATCCTCACTGTCCCCAGCTATCAAGGTGAGGAGCAGGCAGTGCAGCTCTACTACAAAATGTTCTCTTCTACCCGGCACGGCTTCCTGGGGGCCGGTGTGCTGTCCCAGCCGCTCTCTCACGTGTGGGCAGCTGTGAGTGACCCCACCCTGTGGCCCCTGTACCACAAGCCCATTCAGACAGTGAGGCTGCATCAGCGGGTGACTAACAGCATCAACCTGGGTAAGCCCCCGGAGGCGTCTGTGGTCTCAGGTAGCACGTCAGAGGCAGCCCTCTCGGGAGGCTGGGTACTGAGACGACCTCAAGACGACCCAGCTGGGTGAAGGGATGTGGAACGATAGAGTGTTGGGGCGTACCTGGGCCGGGGAGGTTAGGACTAGGTGTGTCCATGCATCTGCTGACTCTCCCTACCCCTGACCCTCCAGTGTACTTGGTGTGCAATCCCGCCGTGTGTGCACTGAAGCAGCCGCGGGATTTCTGTTGTGTCTGCGTGGAAGCCAAAGAGGTGCCTGCCCTGCTTGTGGTAAAGCTATTGTGGGAAGAACTTGGGCTGCAGTGTTGTGAGAAGGGATCTTGATGGGCCTCCGGTCCTCGGGGGGAAGGAAGTTGGGTGGGGGTGGAGGTGGCTTGGAGGCCGGCCCAGTGCCGCCTTCTGTGATAGTGCCACACTGGAACCTGTCGGCGTGATCACTCACATCACTCTGTCCTCCCAGGGGCACCTGTCTATCATGGCAGCTCAGTCTGTATATGACACATCCATGCCGAGACCCAGCAGAGAGATGGTCCGAGGGGAGATCCTTCCCAGTGCCTGGATCCTGCAGCCCCTCACCGTGGAAGGGAAGGAGACCACCAGAGTCATCTACTTGGCCCAGGTGATGCACCCCATGCAGCCAGCCTCACAGCCCCACGGTAGTTTCCTGCTCAACATCCTCGAGTGCCCAGGCTCTGTGACCCGAGAGCTGAAGACTCCAGGGCTTCCTGGGTCCCAGTAAGGGGAGTCAGTGGGGAATCAGGAAGGAGGAAGGAGACAAGGGCTGGTCAGCCTTCCTGAAGCTGCTTTTACCGGAGCCCAGCAGCCTCCTGTGGCTGTTCCCAGGGTCCACAGCAGAACAGAGTGAGCATGACCCATTCTACTCAACTCTCCCAGTTCCCTGACTTGACCTTTGTTATCGGGAGGTGAAGTCACTGCTTAGATCAGAATAGAAGAGCCCAGGGCCTGTGAGCTCCAGGACCATGCAGTCTGAAGAGCTCTCCCATCACGACAGCCTGGGGGACTGCTGGGGGCTGAGGTGTGCCCAGGCACACACACTCTGGAGTTGACACCTTTGACTCCCATCTCTGCTTTATTTCAGGTAGAACTTGGTGCTCCTGGTTTCCCCCCTCAGCTCCTAAGCTCCTTCATCAAACAGCAGCCGCTGGTTATAGCCAGACTGGCTTCCTTCCTCGGTAGTTAGCATCTTGCTGTCAAGATGGTGCTGCTGAGATGCAGGCCCAGGACGCTCCAGAGACACCGGGGCAGCTCTTGTTACTCTCCACCCTGATACAAGAAGAGCCGACCGAGGCTACCTGCTGTGCCCGACTGGGCCGACAGTACTCGGCTTCGAGTTGCCAGCAAGCCCAGTCAGTACTTGGTCACAGCTGGCGTCTGTGCACGGCGAGGGGGCCTGAGCTTGTGGCCGTCCCGAGCAAATGAAGCTCAACTCACCTCCTTGAACTTCTCACCTTTCTTTCCTGTTTCTGGGACCATGTGGCGGCCAAGCTGCTTGAGGACCAGGACTGGGCACAGCCAGCGGAGCAGGGAGCCTGCAGGGCTCGGCATGGCGCTTGCTTAGCTGGTAGGGAGGCAGCCATTGGCTAAGACTGCTACGAATCGGCCCCTAGCATTCAGTCCCACCATGGGGTGGGCTGTTAGAAAATACCCAGCAGAAAGCTGGTTTAAAAAACTGCTGCACAAACCAGAACACAGATTCGGAATCGTTTCTCCTTTAAGTTTTACCACTTTATTATTAATTTTTCCTTTCCCTCACAGGAGAGGACATTTGGGTCTTTGCCTCAGCCAGGAGTACTGAGCAGAGCTCGGTAGAATGAGAAGACCACTGTAGAAGCAGGTTGGACAGACCTGAGTTCAGGCTGGGGCCTAGCTCTTTAAGGGAGGATGGGGGACTTAGAAGGTGGGCAACCAGACGCTGGCTGCTGACAAGAGGAATTTCAGAGATGACAACCCGTCCTTTGAAGACCAGCGAGAAAGTAATGAACTCCTAGGGGAGGTAAGTGATTTGTTAGGATGAAGCCCAGTTCCATTCCTTACCTCAGAGCCTTGGTCCCAGCCTTCAGTGGTCTGTGAGCACGCCACGCTGCTGCAGTAGCCCAGCTATTCTAGGACGGATGGTTTTCTTTTACCTTAGCCTGGCTGAGGGTGTGCGCGCTTTGCATATTCTGCATGGTTAGCTGGAAGTGGTAGGGGTGGGAGACTCCCAGCCTCAGTTCTGGTGCCCAGAATCTTTGTGGAAGAAGACGACCATATGGGGATCAAGATGTGGCAAAAAGGTAAATTTCTGTCGAGTACAGCAGAGATTTATTTTTCTAAAAGTGTTTGCAGGATTTTTCTTACCTCAGATTAAGTTATTTATATATTGTTGATTGAAAGTTTTTAATTGCCTTTAAACTTTTATTTTTCTGGTTAATTTTTTTGGTGACACTTGGTATATTTAACATGCTATTTATGTACTCCCATCTATTTTCATATAAATCACTTATCAAGACTGTTGATTGAAACAATCAGAACACTTATAAATTAAAATTCTGATATGTACTTTTATTAGTGAAGGTAGCCTAAGTGTGTCACTTGAGCTCAGAATTTAGCCTGAAGATTATAATGGCAGTAACTCCTCGTGGCCCAGTTTCAAGTTACACAGTTTACATGGGTATACTGAGCGCCTCCGAGCTCGGCACTGCTTTAAAGGCACGTAAATAGCAACCAGATTAGTTGTCCAATTATAGCCAGCTGTAGCCCCAAAAACGAACAATGAGGGAGGATTCCAGAAGTCATTGCCACACCTAACGGTGACCATGGTCCCCTGGAATGAAGCTCTTTAACGGGTGTGCACCTCTGGGGCTTCTGAGGCAGAGCCAGCAATGGAAATCCAAACATATGGGTAGCCCAGAGGTGACCTTGGCCCCTTGCTAGAGAAGGCACACGCCAGGCCTGTAGCAAAATGCAGAGGCCTCCATGGTCATGATGAAGTCAGATTTTGGTTTAGACAGGCGTTTCTCGGACTTCATTCATGTACATCAAAATCACCTGAAGAACTTGTTACACCCCAGGCTGGGCCCCACTTTGAAAGCCACTGTTTTTTAACACATAACGGAGAGCAGATATATAGAAAGGAACCTTGTTAGTTCACTAGCTCATTGGCTGCCTGTCTCTAATTCCTAGGTTACCTTACGGCCTAGCGTGGGTAAGGTTCACACAGGCCAGCGCTGATTTCCTGAAGTGGGCCCGTGCTCCATTTAACCGAGCGGCCTCTAACCCAGCATCCTTGGCCTTCAGGCTTTCTCCTGCTTGCCTGTCCATCCCACCTCACTCGGAGCTTTGTGTCTGAAGTAGCTGCTGCTTACCTCAGGGCTCAGCCTCCTGGGACAGTGCCTTCCTTCAGCCACACCTACTGGGTACAGAAAGATAAAGCATTTCTTAAAGCTCTTTTGGTTCCCAGGCATGCAGAACTTCCTGAGTTTCTGTAATATAAATTGGACTTAATGGACAACGATAAAGGCCTTTGAAAAGGAAGAGACTAAGAAAAAAGGTCAGCTGTAGAAACTTGTTAAAGGAGTGGGTAGGATAAGCTGAAGGGAAGGCACAGCCTGACTGGACAGAAGCACGATTCGAGTGGTGATTGAGAGAGCACCCTGTGGGACTTACTGTGAGGAAGGGCGCCCTGCCAGCTTTCCTAAGTCACATGGCAGAGCCTTCTGGGCTGAGACTCGTACCCTTCCTTGGGTGGAGATCTCCGAAAATGTCCCCAGAGAAATGCACAGGTATGCATAGACAGGATTTTGTAAGCCATTTCAGTAGGATTCCCTGGGTACCTTTTAACACAGCAGAGCCTGAATCTCAACACAAGGCCAAAGTAGAAAAACCGTGACTTTTACAGGAATGAACTTAATGCACATTTATCAAGGCAGTGTTTTCTTCGTCAAAAACCAGTGGATCATTTATAGACATGTAGAATGCTTTTGTTCTGAGCCAAATCACCCCCACCCTCCACAGCCCTAACAAGCATAATAAGAGCTGCCCCACCATCTAGTTGAGTAGGGAGTATCTGGTGAGTGGAAACCTATCTGAAACATACTAAACCTTTCAAGGGAGTTGCACAGCAGCCAGTATTGTCAGCAATGAATTACCGGACCCCAGGCCTTCTAGCTTGGAGGGTCTCATGTGCTGGAACAGGTAGTCATCACTGGGTGGCCACGCCATTGGTACAGCTCTGCCATCAACGCCCACCTCCAAGCCAAACCCGAGACTGCAGCCTTTTACAGGGAAGAATCAGGTGAAAATAACTAGACATGAAGCCCTCGGTAAAGAAAAAGAGTTTATTTTAAAAAGCTCTAGTGTTCTATCCTGTGCTTGGCCCCTGGATGGAGCTAGGGTTGTTACTACCTGCACAGGACTGAAGCTGGAGTGTGCAGGGGGCGAGCCGGGTTTCTGTCGGGAGGACCCACCTCATCTGTTGTGCATTTTTAAGGAGACAGCAGTCCAGCTCCTGGTGGTAAGAGAATGTAGACGCCCAAGATTCATGTTTTTAACTTTACTCACAAGTTAAGCAAAGTCATTTGCCTCTGTCATGATTTCCCAGACCACAGCCTTAAGAGATGCTGGGACAGCAGTAAGTGGCACTCAAGTCCACACACGTCATTTCATTTAGTCTCCAAGTCATAATCGCCAACTGTTCTGCTGCAGGACTGGAGTCTCTGGGCTTTTCCACTATAATCCTGATTCAGGTGAACCCTCCTCCTTCCTCTAGGTGGCGGGCCTACAGTCGGTGGGAGGTCAGGCAGCCACACTTCCTTCACACGGAGCAAGCAGCCTGGTTTCAGCTACTCCTGCCCCAGCAGGGTCAGCAGGGGGCACTTGGGGTGGCAGGGGCTTCCTTCTGAGGGTTCTGATGAGACAGCAGGGCCACTTCCCCACTTTAACTCTGGGCTAGCACAGTCCCCCGGTTTGGCCGCACCAGCTCACAAGCTCTTAGCTGGGGTTCTGGCATCTGGGGCTCAGCTAGAAACAGGTTGAACAGTGTTGCTAATTCTTCAGCGAAGTCCTACAAGAAGAAAAATGGTGACAGAAAAGGCAACAGCTAATTCTGGATGGTTCATCCTTTCTACTAAAAATCAATCCCAAGTATCAAGCCCTTGCTAACCAGTGAGGAGACAACCTAGCTCATTTTTTCCCAGTTGCCTTCTACACTGAAATGGACTTGAAGTCTTGTCCCATTAAGTACTTCGGGATGCTCAAGTTCTGGCAGGGGGAGTGAATGCTGACCAGAGGCTCAGAACCATCTACTGCGTGCTTATCACCATCTGAGTACTTAATATGCACATTATTTCATCTTGACAAACCCTAGGAGGTACAAGTTATTCCCATTTTATGGATGGAGAAACTAAGATGAATTCTTTGTCCTAAATCACATTAAGTATTGGACGAGATTAAAATCCAGGTTATGGATTTTACAAACCCACATTCACTATGCCGTGTTCTCCAACTACCTGCCTTCCATTTTCCCTTCTCCACTGACAATCCTTCATACAGTATCTGCTCAAATGTGAAGAAGGCCTACCAGAACAACCACTACATTTCAGGGTGGTCCTGAAGACACTTGACAGAAATCCACTGAGCTTTGGGAAGATGCTAAGTGCCAGGCACCAACCATCACTTGCCCCTTTTCAGGATAAAAGGGACATATGACACCCCGTTCTCTCTCTAGGTAAGCGATGAGGACTCCTTACCCCTGGCCACTGGGCCTCACGGAGGCTGTCCAGGCAGGTCTCTATCTCTGACCGTCTCATTAGACCTTTTTCTACCAGCTCCCGGAGCAAGAACAGCAGCAGGTCCCACTGCAACACACATACAGGAGGAGGTCAGGGTGGCCAGGACTGCACAGTGACCCTGACTGATAAGACAGAGCTGCTCAGGAGGAAGACCTGAGATTAACCAGCAAGGGAGCCCATTTTAGCACGGAACAGAAAAGGGGGAATCAAGGTTGTAACATTTGGGGTGAGTGGTGCGTGTAAGAACGATCCCAGAGGACTAAGCCTGCCCGTGCCCCCATCGCTCACCTCCCTAGGCCGAGTGTCTGCCAGAAGTCCCACGTTTCTTGGGCTCAGCAGCAGCTGCAGCGGAACAGGCACCTGAAAGTCGTCCTTCCACAAGGAAAGCAGCGTGTGCAGGAGCCTTCGAGCTTGCCCTCTGTCCAGCCGGTGCTGCGCCGGGGGCCCGAGGACAGGAATTTGGTCTGCAGCTATGGGGAGAGGAAAGCCAAGCTTTAAGAAGTGGAGGCAGGGTCAACTGGCCAGCCCCTGGGAGGAAGGAGAGCAGAAGTTTCATTCTAATCTTGCTCGTACCCAACCCTGAGATCTGGGGGATCTGGCAAGAGAGTGAGGTGACAGAAAGGAGCCATACCAAGGAGGGATGCTAACTCCACAGAGCACTTTGCCAGATGCTGCTCGGCAGGTGGGCACAGGAACTGGGGAAAAAACAAGGAGACCGCGGACATGAGCACCATCTTTAGAGGAGCAGCCCTGAGCCTAAGCAGCTGTGGTGGTTAGGCACTGGACAGGATGCCCATGAAAGCATCCTGCCTTGTCTCACCTGGCGGCACCGCAGTGTCTGGCCCAGCTGGCCTAGGAGCTGCTCAAGATGCTCTGGGGACACTCCCTCCTCAGGGTCCCGGGGGCCTGAGGCCAAAGACAATACATCCTGGAGACAGCAGGGGCAGGAGCCAAGTGAGCCACAGAGAATGTGGCTTGGAGCGGGATTAGCCAGTGGAGAAAGGCAGAAGGAAAAGGAAGACAGGGCCCCTGGGGTGAAGTGATTGGGCCAAGGTGCCCTTAGACTTCGGGCTGGGGCAGGATAGCACAGCTGAGAGAAGCAACCAGTGAACAACCACAGAGGGAAAAGATGGAGCAGGTAAGCTGAGGAAACTGCTGCCAGAGTTCAAGAGATGTCACTCGTCTTGGGACAAAGCCATACCTAGCCAATTCCCAGAGAGCGTCTATTTGGAAAGAGTTGAGGGGGACCATCCTATTGCATACACGCAGTATTTTCTATCCCTCATGCTCTCTGTTCATCTTCTCAGGAGAACCAAGGTTTCAGTATAGTAAGACTGGATATTAAAAACCAGTAGCTAAAGGCCACCTAGCCTTTTCTTCTCCCTACACTCTCCCATTTCAGTCATTCCTTCTTAGTCCCTAGACCAAATCTCTACTCTTACACTACTACCCCAGACCAGGGCAAAACAGTAAGTAGTTAAGGCTTCGCAGGTCATAAGGCCTCTGCCCCAGCTACTCAGCTTTGCTCTGCAGCACAAAAGGTGCCCTAGGCAATTTGTAAATGAACAAACCTGTGTTCCAGTAACTTTACTTACAAAAGCAGCAGCAAGCTGTATTTGGCCCACAGGCTGTTTGCTGACCCTGGCTCTAGACAGTCTCTGATTTTTAAAAACTCAAGTTAAAAGCACTCATAGATTATTTTTCTTGCCTGTTAACTAAACAAGCATCACTTTGCACATAGAACATTTCTGAAATCACACTCCAATACCAGGTGACTTCCCCTTAAAGACTTTCCTACTACACTAGACAGCCATTCACCACCCACCCCCATTACCACCTGTGGAATATGTATTTAGTCAGTTTTCACATCTACTCTCTCCCCTTTTCCCCTTTTGGGTAATTCAAGTACCAAAAGTCAGAAGAGCAATTAGGAAAGCCATTCAATTCAGCCCTGTCCTACCTCATCCCATTCAGGACCAAACAAAGTGGGAACTAGCTGTACAACACGCAAAGCTGCAACACAAGTACCAGAGCACACGGACATGGAAGAGGGAGGCCAGGAAAAGAGCAGGGAGTGGGGGAGGGGAGCCAAAGGGAGTAGGGAGCCGTGTACTTTGATCTCGGAGATGAGGTGGGAGGGGAGGGGAGCATGGTGCTCACAGGCACGGGGGCAGCCCCTCCGCTCCCCCCGGGCAGCCGGTTCAGGACCCTGGGCTCGAAGCACACGGCTCACTGCAGCTTTCACTTCTCTCCTGATCAGCGCTGCAGGTCAGAGGGAGAACGGAAAAGGGGTGACCAGAGCAACCCCGCACGGGTTCACCATGCCTACCCATGCCCTACACCGTGTCCAGCCGGCTCTGAGTCCCGTCTCCCCCACATGGCCTCTAGCTTCCTGCCAGTCCACTTCTGAAAAAGTCACTTCGTCAGCCACCCCTTGCCTACACCTTACCTGTGATGTTGGCTGACAACCAAGCACAGGCTTTCTCTGTTGCAAGCCCCACAGCAATGTTCTCTGCACTGCTCAGAACCTGTGACACAGAAGGACTGAAGAGTCAGGGGCCAGGGGAGAATTGGGGACAATGACGAATGCCCAAGTCCAGGGCTGACCCACCACCAGCAGCAGCCTCATATACACATTCACACACGCACACCTCTCCCACACCAACCGCCTAGCCCACTAGCTCCAGGCCACCTTCCTACGTACAGCAGCTGGGGTCTCCTCGGGGAGCAGTGCCCGCACGGCACCAGGGCTCTTCTTTTGGCAAAACCTGAGGAGAGGCAGGAGGTCAGTGACATCTAGATATGTCAGCCTGACTCACAGAAGGACATGTCCTGAGTGCACCAATCACATGAGCAGGGACGCTCTGCCTCAGGGGAGCACCACCAGCCCTCCGCCCCACCCCAGGTGCTGAGGGCGACAGGAGCCCCGCCCACCTGCTCTTCCAGTTCAACTTGGACTTTGTGTCCCCAAAACCCTCAAGTCAAAGATAGCTTACAGAGGAGGCAAACACAAAGAATGAAAACATGGAAGGATGTGGAATCAAGGATATGGGGGGGGGGAATCAGAAAAATAAAAGCTTAGAGAGTGGAGATGAGAGGGTTTGAACAGACTGGAGTCTCTTACTCCCGCCCCTGGGTCAATGCCTGGGCCCCATGGGGGCACAGCTGGGAACACAACATCTCCAACAGCTGGGCTGGGTCTCCGCCTTCTTGTCCTTGCGTCACCAGCTGCTCTTGAAGAAGCGACTCTGCCTGGCGCACCAGATCTGCCACCAGCGTGGCCCTGTAGTAGGAACAGCAATGTTTGGAGGTAGTTGGAAGGGTTGGATCAGAAAGGGGCTGCAAATTCAAGGAAACCTTGTCAGAGCACACTTCAAAGAATGTTAGCAATTTTAAGCCTTCCCCTATGCTGTCCTCAGCACCCCTACCATCTCCCCAACTGATTTTCCTCAGTTTGGCAACAAGGAATTAAAAGGGGAAATGGTATGGAAATGAGCCTGGGACCCTCAATCCATACTCACTTGATATGTTTGACACAGTTAGAGCCAATTCTCTCTGCCACGAACTCCACAGTCCTGCGCAGGGAGGGTGGCTGGTTGTGGAAGAAGGCTTGGGCCAGCTGTGCCTGTGAGGAGGAGCAGGCAGTTCAGTGAAAGGCTCCCTCTCCCTTCCCCACTGGCCGGCCCCCTGCCCTCACCCTGCCCGTACCTGCAGTCCCTGGGTGGTCCGCGGAGGCAGGGCTCCCAGGCTGGTGGTGGTGGTTGGGGTGATTTTCCTCACGAAGCCCCCACTCCGCCCACTGCTGCCCGATACCCATGAAGCGAGCAGTTTGCGGAGCTCTCCTGCATCAGGGAAGACCACGTGCTTGGTTCACAGAACCCACCCCCCACCCCAAGCGTCATGGACTTTAAGCATCTGTGAAGTCAAGAGGCTGAGGCACCTGGGGAGTGCCTAAAAATAGAACGACATATTAGGGTGTTAGACCCATGGGGTGCCTTTTGGGTACTCATGAAGGGACAGTCTAAGGACTAAGGACCACTGGGGGGTGGGGGGAGGTAGGAGAGAGAGGACAAGCATCCTCACCGATATAGGGGCAGCAGGTGTAGAGCAGGTGCTGGTCCACCACAGGCACGTCATCCTGCGGGAGAGAACGGGCCAGAGCTGGGAAGGCAGGCAGGATTCTCTTCTCAGTGCGCCACAAGCGGGACAGTCGGGTATGAGCGTTATGTGAGTTCAGTCTCTATCTTAGCTTGTCTCCTGCTGGGCCTCTGCCAGCCTGCCTTCTTTATTTCTGTGAATCCCATGGCACTGGCTGGACCCCAACACTTACCAAGCCATGCTCTAAAACTACTGCGTCCACCTCAAAGGCATCCAACTGATCCTCTTCCAGAAAGAACAGGTCCTCAGGGACTGTGGGAATCTGGCAAGAGATTAGGGCAGTGCAAGCTCCAATCAGCCTTCAGAGCTTCTACACCTTCCACTTCGTGGCTCCAGGGTTTGGGCAATCTTCCTCTGAAAACATGGTACTTCCCATACCTCTGAACCTTCATCATCTGGCCCTGACCTTGATCAGACCCAGACATCCCCCTGCCCAACTACCTCCAGTTGCAGTGGCCGCCCCCTCCTGTCTGCCAACCTGGAACAGCCAGCCCAGAACAGCAAGCAGCAGAAGCTTGTTCAGGAAGCACATCTCCCCATCACCTGCCTTCGACAAGACCAAGCTCCTAAAAGGTAAACGAGGGTGTCAGCTCAACTTATGCAAAGGAAGAAGTGCAATGCAGTTAAAGAAAGCTATGCCTGGGAAGTTAATTCTGAAAAGCAGACCTAAAAGGGACTGCTGTCGTGCGGGGGACCAGATCTCCGCAGTGCCCCCTCCCAGATCTGTACTACCTCTTGGCTGGGCCACAGTAGGAAGAGAAAAGAGCCAATGAAAGAGCAAAGTGCCCAGTGTCTTTCCTTGTGGACCAAACCCTGCCTCTACCTTGAGGGCTGGTTATGGCGGTGGTCCCACAGGAAGCACAGGCTACTCAACCCTCTTTATAAGCAGCAGCCGCAGAAAGGCTCTGCCTGCACCCGTTCTTACGTCTTGCCCTTTCTCTACTCACCGGTGTAGGTGGAGCAGGAGAGAGAAGATGCTGCGGTAATAGTCCAGCAAGGGCACAATGTGGTCGGCGAGAGAAAGGAACTCCACCAACCATGGCACTGTGAGCACCGCCCGACGCGCGCGCAGCCCCTGCTGCAGCAGAACCCGCACATCCAGGGCTGGGGGCACCTGGCAGGGCCAGAACACAGTCGGTGGGCAGGTCTCGAGACCGGGGTGCCCTCTAACTCAGGGCCTTGCAGCTCCTCCCGGCTCCCTCCTTACTAGAGCTCCCACTCACCTGGCTTCTCAGGGCCAGAATGGAGTCCTGGAGCTCACGGGTCGGGGGTGGTTCAGACCCCCGGTATGGCAGGAAAGCCACAAAGCCCAGGAATTTAGCAAGAAGCCTCAGGCTGAGCAGCACCACAGCAAACTGCCTCCGTTCACCCTGCAGGAGATTAGGGAAGTAAAAGGTCCTCAGCATAAGGATTCTAAAAGAATTACAAATCTGTTACAAAGTTCTTGAAAATACCCCTGCCCTTCTAGGTCAGAACCCCTTCAGCTCCGTTTTGCTTTCTAACCTGCCAGTCCACGTCTGACTCCCCATCTTCATCACTAGGCTCAGGCTGAGGCAGAACAAGGCCGTTGAGTTCCCGTATCTTCAAACTCAGACTATCCATGAGATGCTGATTAAACTGGAAGCTAGGAAGGGGAGCAAATAAAGGCACTTGGAGAGGTGTAAAAACCAGAATAGAGGGCCGGCCGAGTGGCGCATTGGTTAAGAGTTGGCTTGGGACACCAGAGGGCCCCGGTTCGGATCCCACATATGAGGGCCAGTGACACTGCCCTCCACAGCTAAGATGCTGAACAACAGCTCAACCTGGAGCTGGGCTGCCGTGAGTCGCTGGCGACGGCGTAGGCTGCAGCCCCTGTGGCAGTGGGTTGCCATGGGCTACCGTGTGTAGCCAGCAGCCAGCGTGAGCGGCCAGTAGCCGCAGTGAGTGGCCGTCCAGAAGCCAGCGACTGATCTGCCTCACCCAGGAAGCGCACAATGATGGTGCCAACTTGGGCCAGTGAAGCAACGTCCTCCACAACGACTGAAGAACAAAAAGGACAGAACTTGTCTGTTCCCCTTCCCCAATTCCCCAGCACCGTTCCCATCCCCCAATTTCCCAATTAAAAAAACAAACAAAACCAGAATAGACAAGAGGGGCTCCAGGCAGAAAGGCTCAGTTGGGCTGAGAGGGGTGGCCAAGGAGCAATGAGGTGACTACCCACACGGGTGAAAGAAGGAGAGCTTAAGGTCAAGAGGGCAGAGTAGGTAAATGCTATGCTCACCAGCTCCCACGACCACATCAAAATTACAGCTAAGTTATAGAACAACCATCACTGAGAACCACCTGAAACCTAGCTAAAATGAAGTCCTATAACTCAGGATATAAAGAAGCCATGTCAAGACTGGTAGGAGGGGTGGACTGTGTGATGCTTAAAGATCAGGATGGATACCTTGGCTGCGGAAGCACCCCCTAAGGAGCAAGGAGTCCAAACCCCACACAGCAGATGGCCTCTGCATGCCCTGTACCTCTTGCTAAGGTAACCCAAGCCCAGCAAAAGTGGCGACTGTTCTCCACTTGCATTGTAACTCCCATTAGGTGGCCCTCACGCCTGGCATAAGCGGAAGCTAGTCTTGGATTGGAACGTAGCTCCACCTAAGCGACCACAAGCCTGGCACAGTGGCAACATAATGCAGATCACTTTGGAGCTCCCACCAGGCAGCCCCAAGCGGGGCACAAATGGTGGCTGACCTTGGTTTGTTCCAGAGCCCCTGCCAAGAGGCTCTGGAACCAACACATCTGGTGGCCGGCTTCGGACTACATCAGAGCAGCACCCGATCGGCGCCACAAACGACACACTTGAAGGGAAGACTCAGCTGGCACCAGACTCCACTAAAGTGACTCTCACACCATGGAGTCAGCCCCCACACAAAAACCTGTCCACTATAGTCATGGTCAGCCCTCACAGGCAGTCAACTTGGGGGTCAATCCCACCCACTGATGTGCAAACAGCAATCAAGGCTCAACTACAACAAGAGGGCACACATAACCCACACAGGGACACGCCTGCAGCAGCCGGCTCAGGTGTTCAGAAGACTATGCCACTGGGTCTCACAAGACTCCCACTACATGAGGCTGCTCTGCCAATACTGAGAGATGTAGCAGATCTACCTAATACATAAAAACAAACATAGGGAGACAGCCAAAATGAGAATATAAAGACACATGTCCCAAATGAACAGAACAAAACCCCAGAAAACAAACTAAATGAAATGGAGACAAGGAATCTAGAGATACAGGGTTCAAAACACTGGTTATAAGGGTGCTCAATGACTTAGGGGAAGAATAGATTATCTCAGTGAGAACCTCAACAAAGAGGTTCAGAAACTGTAAAAAAGAACCAGTCAGGAATGAAGACAATAACTGAAATGAATAAGTTAGAGCAGCAGTTCTCAACCTGTGGGTTGCAACCCCTTTGGGGGTCAAACGACCCTTGCACAGGGGTCGCCTGAGACCATCGGAAAACAAAAAGATATTTACATTACGATTCATAACAGTAGCAAAATTACAGTTATAGAGTAGCAACGAAAATAATTTTATG